TGAAGGTCCCTACCAAAGTCTTGTTGAAGGACCGCTCCAATAGCAAAGTGAGAAGCATCAATGTCAAGTGTACAAGGAAGGTTAAAATCATATGGTTGCAATATTAGAGCAATAATAAGTGCCTCCTTCAACTTATCAAAGGTGCTTTGTAGCTCTAGTTTCCATTCAAATGGAACACCTATTTGTAGTAGGTTTGTCAATGAAGCAACAATGTGAACAAATCACCGAATAAAATGGGGATAATATCTAGTAAGGCCTAAAAATGAGTGAACATCAGAAGCATCTTTAGAAATTGGCTAATCCTCCACTACTTTCACCTTCTCTTGTGCCATACACATGCATTTGGAAGACACTACATGCTCCAAAAAGATGACTTTCAACTTCCAAAGTTCACATTTTAATTTCTTGTAATAAAAACAACTATATTGTAGTCAGTGCAATATTTTTCTTAGATGTTGCTCATACTCTTCAAAGATTTTATTATATACAAGGATATCATCAATGAAGACAACTACATACTTGTCCAAAAGGTTCTAAAATAATCTATTCATGTGATGCATGAAAGAGGCTGGAGCATTGGTAAGGCCAAAATGTAAAATCAACCATTCAAAATATCCATAGTTCATACAAAATGTTATCTTTTTTAAGTCCTTTCTTACAATAGGTGTTTGCTAATAGCCACTTCAAAGATCCAATTTATTAAAGATGATCGCACGTCGAAGTTGGTTAAGAAGATCATCCATACATAAAAGTAGATATGTATTTTTAACAATCTGCTAATTGAAGCCTTGATAGTTGATGCAAAGGCAAAGTCCAACATCCTTCTTGGATGCAAAGAATATAAGTGCTTTCCATAGTCATGTGTTTTCTTGAATGAGGTTTTTTTCTAAAAATTCATCCACTGTCTTCTACAATTCTTCAAGTTTTTTTGGTGTTAGGTTATAACTTGGTTGATTTCCTTGTTTGGATCCAAACAATAGTTCTATTTAAAAGACCTACCTAGTAGCATACTTCTTGATCAAGTATTGATCCTTGGTACCTTTACTAGAGAATCTAATTTTCCTATTCTTTTTCATTATCGACTTAGTGAGTTTTGAGACTATGAATCCACCTTATCTTCGTGATGTTTGAATTTTGTTGTTTTGGACAACCTCCAATTTGATGGCTTGGCTCCCGACAATAGAAAAAAAATCCTTTTTGTACTAATATTTGTCATTTTTGTGGTATCAATGATCATTGTATGGCATCAATCTCCATTAGCATTCATTGTTGTGCCATAGTATTAGATAGCGACATATGACTTCATGCTATAGGTCTTGCTTCTGGTAGAAATATCTCTATTAGCCGGATTTTGTAACAAATTTTATTTGTTTTTTACTGCTTTAGGCTGTAGGACTTACTTACTAGCCTTAATATGAGTCGTTACTAGTGTTATCAGCTTATAATGAGATAAAAAGATTTAATGCACCTTATTTGCTCTACCCTTGTGCTATTCAATATAGCAGTTCCTGACAGGTTTCAAACCTTGTAGGAAGCGATCCATCATCTCTACATTTAAAATATTATTAATTTGGAGATATAGAGACTTGAATTGGAAGATATAATCTTGCATTGACATAGATTGTGTAATATTTATCAATTGTTTGCATGCTATCTTCTCTGCATTGATGGACCAAAATTGATTCTTAAACTCGGTCTCAAACTCCTCTCAATCACAAAATCCACCTTAAGCTCCATAGCTTTGAATTCAATGTCACCACCAAATGGCTATCATATATAATTCCTTCAATGGTATTTGTCCCAGATAGTTAGAGGTACTGTCACATATTGAAGAGCCATTGACATACATCTTCTTGTCTTGAAGTCCTAGAGTATGTATTAGGCTTATTCAATTTTAACTTAATAGATATTGACTCCCTTAACCTCGAGGCTTCTATTTGCCCTTATAAAGTAGCTATCTGGCCTAAGAGGTACTATATTTGAATGTCTATCTTGGATTATTTCCCTATATCTTCCATGTTGTAATTTTTCTACCAGATTCTACTATTGTAATGCCTTCTTACTTCCCATTTGACTTTTTAAGAATAGCTCGTGATAGCTTCAACATAATATCTAATATGACCAGAACAATTAATCTTCAACTAGATGAATGACTATTAATACACTACCAAAAGTAAATAGTCTAACATATGATGAAACATGACCAATCTATCTTAGGTGTCTAAGACTCTTCAAATCCACAGCAATATAAAACCTTATCACAAAGTAATATAAAATGGATAAAAAAATAATTGAACCAACAAGAATAAAACAAAACTGAATTGAACAAGAAGATACAAAACCAAACTTTACTAAGAGAGAAGGTTCAAAGCTATACCTGACTAGGTGCTCCAAAAGGCTCTGACCAATCTTATTTATACTTTGTTCTACTACCTTGGACTTTCTAGAATGTTTATAGATAGTAGATTCGACTTAGATAACTTTTTTTAATTCCTTTTAGAAGGTTCTATGGTAGGCTCCATCTAAATGACCTCCCTAAATTCTTTTTAGAATGTTCTATGATGGATCCTACATAGTCCACTAATATAATTCCAATTCTAGAAACTTCCATGGTTCTAACTATCTATTCCTATAAAAATATCTTATTTATATCTTGTTACATAATAGGTAGTTACAATCTTTTAAATTGAAAGGTTAAATCCTGTCACATAACAAATTTGTTCCATATCTTAGATATATATTTTTAAAACATTAATATGAAATAAAGATATTAAATTTGTATTATAATTATTTTATATTTAAGTTTTATTATTTTAAAATATTTTAATTTAATTTTTCATCTAATATTTTAAAATTTATAAGTCAAAATAAAATAATATTAAAAAAATAAACTTGTTATAAAATGTTAAATTCTCTTTATAAATCAAAACTACAAAAAATAATATAACTTAATAGAATTTAATAGGTTATTAGACAATATGTATTTAAAATTATATATTTAGTTTTTTAAAACTTAATTATATATTTTTATTTATTTATTAATATTACATAAATAAATATAAATTTAATAGTAATTCTAATTATATATGATATTGAAAAAATAGTAAGTATTTATATGTATTTTTTAAAATAAGTATTTTTTATTTAATTAATCTATAAAAATAAAAATATTTTATTGCAAATTAAACATAATAAAAATTTAATTAGTCATCTCAAAGTCAAAAATTCAAATTTATCTTAAAATATTAATTACATTAAAAAAATAATAATAGTTTTGACTTTAATAAATTTTATAATTATATATTATAGTAGTTTATTGTTATAATAGTTCTTATTTGTAGAAAAAATATTTGTTTAAAGTTTTATAATAGTTTATTTTTAAGAATGAATCATGTGAGATTTTTAAACAACAACTCTGGTTTTAGATTTTCTTTAGATTTTTTTCTTATTAAATATATATATATATATATATATATATATATATGTTTTTTTTTTTTTCATAATTTTTTTTCTTCAGTTAATAAATTTTATACTCTAAAGAATTAATAAATCTTATTGTTATTAAAGAAAGATGGATGAATAATAGCAATATAAATTCAAAAAGAAACACTTTTATAATTATCTTTGAGCTAATGGCCTTAGAAATGGTTTTGCAAAGCATTTCCTAAGAACTTTACCATAAGATTTCATCTATTTGTGATAATTAATCTTGGTTTAACCTATCTTGCTACCAATGAGTAACAACCAAGCAATGGGCTAAGAAGAGTTTATACTAATATAATGAAGAATTTATAAAATTAACCCACCCATCCAAACCATTATAAAAAGAAAATCTCCACTATTAGATTCATGTTGGTTGAAAATCAATGAAAAAATAGTTAGATCTACAATCAATGACGATGGATGGATGAATTTAGTAAATTCTTGGATTAATTTAAAAATATCCTATAAATAATATAAGATTTGGTGTCAAAGTTAGAACTTGGATAGATTGATGCCAATGATTATAGATTTTGGTAGCACTAGATTAATTGTGAGTTCCAAGATTAAATTCAACCACTTATGTAAGAGATTGATTGCACTATATTTATGTTTTGATCCCTCTTCTTAATGCTTTATCACTTCTCTCTAGTTCATTGCCTCATCTAAGCCTTGGCTCTAGCCAAGGCTCGATTGGCCTCTTCTTCTTTGGTTCTAAGTTCTAATTTTTGCATGCAAGCATAGGTCGGTGCTTCCTCAATTTTAAGATCCAATTTCTGTGAGAAGGGTACTCTCTAGCCTATGACCTCAATCTTCCTTAAGCTCTATCTAAGGCCCCTTAGCCCTCTCTCATTTCTAGCCAAGGCCCCTTAAGCCTTTGCTTCCTCAATCTTAAATTCCAATTTTTTTGGGAAAGTTGGTCAGCTTCTTCCTAGCCCATGACCTCAACCCTCTCTTAACTTTGACGAAGACCCCCTCTGCCTCTACTTCCTCGGCCCTAAATTCCAATTTTTACGAATAAGCAAGAACATGAGCTTAGTACTAGCCCATAGCCTTAGCCTTCCCTTGGCTCTACCCAAGGTTCCCTTGACTTCTGCCTCCCATAGCCTTAAGCCTCCCTCAGCTCTGGCTAAGGCCCCTTGGCCTCGTCTTTAAGTTTCAATTTTTGCAAGTAAGCATGAACATGTATACAAAAACTCTGTTAAAAATTGACTAAAATCCATTATATGGACGAAGACTACTATGGTCCCGGTCTAGGGGTTAGGTTGCCCCGGTCGTCTTGAATATTGAAGTCACTTGATTTTTATGAATTTTGATATCAGTGCTCATGTAACTATATCCTAGAAAAATGCAAAACTCTATGTAGAAGATATTCCATCCAATCAGAATTGTCTCAAATGGAAATTCCAACGCATGACATGGAGATTGACAGACCCCCGAATTTTGTTCATGGCTGCAATAACAGCATCACAACAGTGCATCATGCAGGTCGAATAATTGAAAGTCGACAGGTATACGAGTAACACAGAAATAGACAAGAGAATAATAATATTCGAAATCAGCGTTCATTTCCAAAAACGTTCCCGAGAAAATTGCCCTACGCGAGCCTCACAACTTAACCGTAAGTGTCTTGACCAATCCAGGTCACTGCTAGCCTATTACAAATCAATCCCATACTTAAATCTCAAAGAAAATATGCTAGTTTATTTGATTAAACTTGAAGAGCTTGCGGGATGCCGCCTTGTGATAACTTTGCATGAGCTATGATCCTTCCTACGTTGTTGATGTTCTCCTGTACACAGCGAACTTTCGTATTAGTAACGCAGCGCTTCAAAATTCTACTACAAGATCTCGGAGACATACGTAAAACAAGAGATAAACTTCGATTCTGTCAACTGCGTGCACAATAACAGATTCATACAATATGGCACCAACCCGACAAATAACGTAATACACACATAAGTCGGAGCCAATAGATAACGTTTGCTAACCTTCCAACCAGCGAGTCCTGTGCGCAACTCTTGCCATTGTGCAGGTCCGAAAACCCTCCCAGTGCAGCGTCTGCAACAGATAATCAAATGATTGTTTTCTCAAAGCAGAAGATTCATCCTTGTGCTAAACGAGAGAGACAGAGTGGGGAGAGAGCGAGAGAGAGAGAGAGAGAGAGAGAGTCAGAGTGAATGTGTTGCATGCACGACTGGATCATTGACTGCAGAACATGTTACAAGAGATTAAGAAGGTTAAGAAAATTTTCAGAACATATTTTCTCTTAATACTGTGTATACTCATTAATACGTACCCAATAATCACTGTTTGTCTATGCTGATCCATCTTAGCCTCAAGTAGCTTTGCTCCAATAGCTCTCACAACCCAGTGCTCGACCTCGTCATCAGCAACCTGGCCAAGGACAAACGACAGTAGTCGAATGAGAGGACCCGACTACAAAATAATGAGGTTTTTGAATATACTTATGAAGTATAAAAGCAAGACAGATGCTTCCATAAACCGTTAACTGTGTACCTTCAGAGTATCACGGATGACAGCATAAGAAACCTCTCCGGAAGCCGCAGTAGCAAGCCCCACTAGCGACATCAGCCGCATTTTAGTAACACAATCCTCATGTACAAGTCCTGCATGCAAGCAAAAGTATCTATGAACATACATATTCCAGCAGGTAATTTGATCACAACAACCCCAAAGATGATAAACATACCATAATTCTCCAAAGTAGCAGCATCTGCAGCTTGAAACTCGAGGTAATCCGCAAGACGGCCAGTCAAAAATATCTCGAGCAAACGATATACAGGCTCATACTTGGGGTCCCTTTCGAGTTGTTTTACGGCTGGCATATCCAATAGGTCACACTGGGGATCACAAATAATAGAAAGAATGTTATCTGCCGACAAGCGAAAGTCAACTTATCATTTTTCATCGTAATTAACAGCATCAATTACATGTATCTGTAGATCCAAATATCTGTCAGGTCCTATTCCTGTGAAGAAAAGAACAGGTTCAACGATAGATTGAAATAGCCATATTGGAAAGTTAAGAAGTTCAGATACTTACAAGGAAAACGCTCTGATCACCCCAACGATGTTTCTGCAGTAACATCATGTCAGCATGAAATATTTGCACATACAACCACTTCAAAAAAGAGTAGCAGAAAAGGCACAACCTGTGATTTCAAAATCAGGACAGACATAGTTGATAAGGAGTCCGAATGAGCGAGATTAACCTGAAACATGTCCGGAGACTTGACAAATTCTATGACAGCTCTGACAGCTTCCTCTTTAGCTTCGTTCAATGTACTCGCATCCTCTCCAATAAAGGTTTGCAGGTACTTGAACAGAAATGCGTATGAGTCCTTCGTGTACCTACACGACTTTCATGATGGTTGAATAGCGACTACGTCAAAAGGTACGGGTAAAGATAAGATTTATAAATTAAAAGTTTTCTTACTGAAAAAGATGAATACTACCATAAGTAGTACCACAGACCATCATCTGGAACCCATTATAGAAACCTGAATCCGGTAAGTTGTCTTTGAATCTAAATAGAGTGATACTAAAAGAAAGTATAAAAAATCACAATGTACAATATCAACGTACATGACGATATACGTAATTTAAGAGACCTACCCTTTTTGGTCCTTCAAAATGTTTGTTGCAGAAAGGAATATATCACGCTTATCACTCTCACTAATATTCCACTCGTGTAAGAATGCATCCATGCGCTTGAAAATAGGCACAATCAGTTCCGTGACTTTTCCAGCTACGGCAAGCTTGAGCACTCTCTTAAAGATCAAAAACCGACCGTAAGGGTTCTCTAGCACATTATACAAGTGAAATAAGCTGCAAGCCCCACAGAGCGCGGCTTAAATTAGGAAGGCATGAAGCTGACCAGAATTAAAAAAAATGTCCTACAAGAACCCTCGAGGACAAAGGTAGTATAATAACTCAGTCAATTAAATTTCTTCAATTACAGCCTCAGGTCAGCCTTGTGAGGATATGAGCAGAGCATTACATACATGACACATTTGCAATAAGCAGCTATCTCTCAGCAACCGAAACTCTTGAGGAAAAAGCAGGTGACCTTGCTCATAGAACCAAATTGAACATATACTGCGATTATATTCCATTATGCGTGAAGAGGATGATGAGGAAGATGAAGTACATTTTAAGTCGACTGACTGGCTTGTCAATGGGCTGAACAGTGAGCTTGTTCGCAATTTGGTCCGCCATGGCAAGTGCGTCATCTGGGCTTTGTGCTTTCGATACCAAATTGGAGATGACAGTAAAAATGCATTCCATATCTGCAGAGCACAAGCGCAAAGATTAAATCCAATATGTAACGAATCCACTGGAATTCGTGCGGCATTGAAGATTCCAATACTTCAATGAAGTTGGATTGCATAACCGACATTCGCGAGGAAGTCGAAACAAACAATGCAGAAACTAAAAAATTCATGAATGTGGAAAACTTCATTCTAAACGAAAAATTGCACTGCTATTTGTAACTCCAGAAAAGAAAATAAATAAAATAAATGAACAAACAAACAAACAAAAAAGATCGCTATGATATGAAACAATACAGAAAAAGTTAAAACTCATGCCGGATACCTTTCTCGGAGGCATTCGCAAGCACGAGGTCTGCAGATGTGAGCAACAAATTGACAAGATCTGGATACCATTTATCCATCAAATATGATTGAGCTTCATTACAGAATTGCGCAACTGCTGGTCCCGCAATCTGCATAAAAGACAAGCAAACCGAAAGGCTTCATCAACCACAGTAAAGTTGTCATTCCAAGAACAAAATCCACCCCCGAAACAGCTATAAATCCATCCATTACGTCGAGAACCACGTTCTTCACAGAAACAGCCCAAGATTGCAGTCCGATATGTCTTCAACTTGTCAAAAGGCAAGTGAAAATGCTCGATACAGGGTAAAACAGGAGGATAAAAGCAGAAGGAAGACAAGCTCACATCAGGCCCGCCTTGAGACCATGCAAGCTCCGCTATAGTGCGGGCCACGGCCATCGTCGGCTCCTCCTCGGATGTCTCAAGTAAGGTCGTCATTGCAGCACTGGCTTGCTCTGCTCTACAGCCTTTGCGAATAAAACGAACATTAAGTGTTCGTTGCAGAGCAAGCGAGCAAGCAAGCGCGCGGGGTCGGCGACAACAGAGTGAAGCGAAACCCTAGTCCTGCAAAAGAAAGCGAGTAATGAGATTAGTGAATTAATTCCCGCGAGAGAGAGACGACCTATTTCCGCACCGGGACATCAACCGTGGCTTTAAATTTTGTTTTGTATTGGTTGCCATAAGTTTGGAAACACCAGGCTCACCGCACCCCGTCACCGTGGCACCTACTTAACATTTGTGTTTATTCGTATTCTAAGAAGAGTAGATGCCCCTATCTCCGCTCACTTAAGTATTTTAATGAATTCAAATATTGAAATGCCAAATTTATAAACATACACACACATAGATATGTAAGAAATTAATATAATATAAGATAAACCATTACCACACTAATTATTTCTAATCAACAATCACCTCATGATCTCAATTAAAGTATGTATCCTATTTGGAAAAATATTCATTTTTTTTTTGCTAAAGAAGACAAAAAAATTATAAAAATATATACACAAATAATTGCATTACCAATATTTGTATTGCATATATAGTTGAAAGGTATATATATATATATATATATATATATATACATATATTAACATCTACAAATAAATACATACATAAAGTACCAAAGTATTCCATTCTAAAAATACATATTTACATGGTAAAACTTCAAAAAAGAATAGAAAAAATCTATCATCCAACAAGATTTTTTAAAACTATTACTATTAAAAACATTTGATTAAACCATACTTTACCTACAAAACACTTGAACTACAAAAAACAAACATATCATGGAAGATTTAACTCAATTTCTATAAATGTACCAAAACCTTTGATTCTTTACTATGGAATTCATAAAGTGAGTATAAGCAAAATGCAGAAAAGATTAAACATACAAACAAACAAGAGATTAGATTCTGGTTGTTGTGTATGCAAGTGTTATTCTTTTTATTTGTCTTGGTTTTTGTTGTTTTTTGAAATTCTTAGAATAACTTTCATTGTTATAATTATTATAAAAATTTTAGTTACTTATTAGTAATTGATATTCTAATTCATGGCTTCTTCATCTTCTTGTGCAATATTTTAATCTATGAATGCACTCATTGTGAATTCACTAAGTGTAGTTGTACCATATCTTAAATAATTTTTGATTTACAAAACTATTAGCACCTCTTCATGTGTTATTTTTTGAATTGTGATATTATAGTATGGTTCTATAGCTATGCAAAAGATGATTGTTTTCATTTATTTTTTAATTTTTTTTGTATTTATAAAATATTTAGTTGATCTTTCTATAAACAACAAAATCACCAATTTGGAATGCAAGAAAAGAATTTGTGAAAATAATAACAACCAAAAATATTAAAGATGAAATCAAAGAAACTTATTAAGACTCTTGAAATAAAGGTTGATTGATTTATTTGTAGTGTTTTTATTGATGTCAACAAAATAAAATAACACAATTGTGCATTTTTATTTGAAGATCTTTCAAAATTGAGCAAAGTTAAAATAACCATTTTTCATACAAGAAAAGATGAAGAGACATTCTAATAACTTAGTTAATTATAAAGATATTTTATAGAATTGTAGAACTTTAAAGCATGCAAGTACATAGCCTAAAATAAACAAGATTTTGAATATCTAAAATATATATATATATATATATATATATATATATATAGATATATATATATATTTTCTATTATTTCAAGATAAATTTAAAGTTTTTAAGTAATTTAACATTCTTAATTCAATGATGAAAATAACCAAAGGTTTTAGACTTTGTTTTTAAAGGTCCAAATTCTAGTAAAAAAAACAAGTGAAGGAATATATATACAATCTTTTAGATTTAGACCAATAAAAGCATTAAAACATATATATGCATTAGAAAAAAAATCATTCTCACCATCTACAAGTATTATTTTTATTTATTTATTTTTATATATATATATATATATATATATATAAATGAAACAAAATTCTATGATGTCATACCGCATTTTGTATAGCTTTAGAGAATTAAGGCTTCAAAGAATAAATCCTTGCAAAATCTCAAATGAATCTTCAATAATTTCAATATTAATCCATAGTAGTCTATTGTATGATTTGAGTGATCTTCTTCCTTGTTATCTTCATACTATCATACTTGATAAGATCAATATGCAATAAGATTGGAACAAGAGAAGGCTTTATTGCAATAAGGAAATTCAAGGATCTATACAAGTACAAAGACTTGGAGTTGGTCTGCTACTAATCCTTGACTACTACTACTTTAATCTAACTATCATACGACTAGAAGGAATGTCCTTACTATGCTAAGTCCTTGGCTTAAATACAATGAAATATCATCTTATCCTTCATTCATCTTTATTCAAGATTCTAATCTTCCATTTGTCTCCCAACTTTTGTCTTGTTTATGTTTGTAGTACTTGCTTTTCTTTTATATATCTTTTGTCCTATCTTATAATATTTTATCTCCATGGTTAATTTGAATCTAATATTAAATTTGTAATTATAATATGGCATCAAAAAAAATATTTTTTTGTATATGTAATGCAATTTTGTAAAAAAATATCAACTAAAATCAAGGTATTAATTATTCTCAATCTATTTACATACATCAAAAACTATATTAGTGACAATTTTATTACAAATTCTAGTATGAATTTCTATTATCAAAAAAAAAAATACAATATTGTACAAGATCTAGTATTATTTTAAATATTGAAAAAATATTCATTTTGCTCAGTCGCACGGCTCATCTTTTCATAGGTCAATTTTTTCAATTTCTAATTTATGATGCACTATTAAATATTAAAGTATAATTCAATGAAACACCAAAAATTGAATATTACTTGATTAAATAAGAGTAAAGGTTTCTTCTTTGTTGTTGTTAGAGAGAGAGTCTAAGAGCTCTAATTATCCAAAAGAAGGAATGTTAAAGTGAGGTAATATAAAAGGATTTTTTCCAAAAACTTTGATTGCTCCCAAAGAATTGATAAAAAGAGTGACAATGAAGCATAGATGGAAAGATGATGCGTTGCTAGGCTATGGTGCCTATACCAAATCTTTGTCTTCTAAGCCTAGTTTGGATATTGCTATCTAGACCAAAATCTCTTCAAAATGATGGATTCTAATGTAAGAGTTGAGAACACTTAAGGACTAATATTAGAGCACATTGTGCAATAATCTTGCTTGTATTATATATCTATATAGTGTGGATAGTCTAAAACTTGGATTCAACATCTAACATGTCAATAACTTCTTTTTATTCTATTTGTTCTTCTTGAGCCTCCTTCTAATATTTATTAACTACACTTAGTTGTTGGATCTTAATGTCTGTCATTATTATCTTATCCTTGACTTCACAAAGGACTTCTTGTGTGGCAATAAATTAAGCCATCCTTTTTGCTTTGTTATATAGTTAATGCTTAGCATTCTTTTCAAAGATGGACTATTGTTTGTAAGCAAGTCTTGACCATATATTCATGTGTTCTAATTTTTGAAATGAAGTCACATTAGATGCAAGCCTTCATGTTGTCTTGAATTGAATTGATTTAAATATGAAAAGAATAGAAAGAAGTGATGGTTGACGTTTGTATTTTTAACTAATAAATTAAAAAGTTAATACTTTGGAATCTTCTTCAACTTTAGAAGATTATGACATTAAGCCTTGAAAGGCCTATATATCCATTGGATATTTAATGTTGGTCTTTCTTGTATTATCACTAGCTTATTGAGATAACTTAATTTTTTAAACTAGATTTAAAATTGGAATATTAAAGCAACCTCTCATTTAACCAACACTCCTATAATCTATAGATGGCTAAATTTGATAGATACTAATAAATCTTATTATATATATATATATAGATATTATATTTAAAATCATAAAATTTTAATCAAATATTCTTCTTTTTTATTTAAAACATCTATGATTGTTGTGTAAAGAAATTAAATTGAGAAGATGATGAGACAAATGATCATAACTATTTTTTGTCTTGTATTCCAATGTTTTAGCTTCTTAAATTTTATTTAGTTTTGATAATTTATTATTTTAAAAAATTGAGTAAGAATAAATTTAAGGAAGAACTGCTTGATCATGTATGTAATAAAGATCATACTTTATATTTCTTACATTGATTGCTAGAAGTTCTAGTAGGAAAGTTTTCTTTGTTGAATAATAGAATTAAATTGAATTGTTTGAGAAGTCTTTTTTTAATCAAACAAGGAATCAACCATATGATATCAAATTTTCTTGAAAAATCTAATTTCTTAGCATCTTATAAGAAGACCAATATGCTAAGCCTTAGAATTCTAACCTTATAAAATTTATTAAAAGTAATTTTTTATTGTCATTGTATAGTCTTTATTAATTGGAATTAAACTTTAATAAGTTTTGATTCTTCATTCTTAAAAATACATCTTTCATTATATAATCAAGTTTATGGACATATAATTGCTCTATGGATCTTTTATATTACTCATTTGGTATTTAAAGACATATGGCTATATCTTTTCAAACTGTAAGACTACTAAAAGTGTGTTGAAACTAAAAGAAGAGATTAAAGTCAACTTCTGTAATTAATTCATTTGAATCTTGACTTTGAATGCCGTCAAAGTGTACTCCAAATATATCTTCAAATTTAATGTCATCTACCAAGGTAGCTAAATCTACCTCTATTTCATTACTTTGCAAAGTAGCAAAACCATCTATAAAGTTGACATGCATTATTTCATCTGTACTTAAGGTGAGGTGACTTTCTAAATATTTGGTAAATTTTCCTCATCCTTCTAATTGTATAGATTAAAGCTTATACATGCTAATAAAATTGGATGTGCCATACTAAAGCAAATTACCTCTTTATTTTCTAAATTGACAAATTTTACTTTATTTTAAAATTCCTTCTTAGATATAAAAAAAATTATTTTAAATTTTAAACAAAAAATAGATATAAGAAACTTTATTTTGAACTTTATCTATTTTTATTATAATATTTAAATTATATGAGATTTGTGTGTTTAATATAAAGCTTTAAGAAAAGGTGGAAGCCTAAAGATGAAATCTAAACTACTAGGAGGCTTATGGAA